GGGGAAGGTCAGAGGGAGAAGCAGGCTCCCTGCCAAGCAGGGAGCCCGATGTGGGACTCGATCCAGGGACTCCAGGATCATGACCTGAGCCGAAAGCAGTCGCTTAACCAACTGAGCCACCCAGGCGCCCCGTAAACCATTAATTCTGAGCCAACTCTTCCATTTGACAAATGGGGAAAATGAGACCCAGAGAGGACAGGGGACTAATCTCAGGTCACCCAGAACCTAGTGGCAGAGTGAGGACTAATCAAGGCCATGTGCAATCTGGCCCCAGCCCTCTCCTCCAACCTCCCTGTCACATGCCGCCAACCTCACTCAGCCCCAAAGCCTCCACTCAGACTGTTCCTCCATTGACTCCTCACTGCTTGCTGTAATCACCCCTGCATATGGCTCAGCCCATCCTCTGGGAAGCCTTCTTAGTTGCCCAGCAGGTGTGCTCACTCTTTCTTCTGAGCTTCCTTAACTTCGTGTCCTCTCCTGATTCTATAAGGGGTACAGTCTCCTGTGCCCACATCTTACGCCCATTTGCACCAGGAGGGCAAGGGCTGTGTACCATCCAACTAGGCTCTCCTTCGTGTGCCTGGTGCCCAGCACAGAGCCAGGCATGGTGAAGGTTTCCAGAAAGGCTCACCAAATTACACTGACCCTGTTTGTGTTGCTCTTGGGCAGGCAGCACAGGCTGGGTCATCCTGCTCTGGGCTGGCCACGCTGGCTTAGCAGGTCTGGCTGTCAGAGTCTCTGTTTACTCTTTCCTCTGTGAGGGAGCTAGTGTTCAGCCAGAAGATGAGAGAACCTGGAAGTGGCCCTCCTGAGCCTGGATGACCATTTCCAGGCCAGGGCGAGACAGAGGCGAAGAAGGGTGAGGAGAAGGAATCCTGCCACCAGTTCCTAGGAGCAAAGGATTTCTTCATGCTGCTGTCTGGCCCTTCCCTTATCTGGGGGAGCAGAAGCATGATTCCACTTGGCTGCAGCATTACCCCCTACCTCTGTCACCCGTGTTGGCTGCATGCGTGCACAGAAATAAAGCACCTCAGCGGTGGCAACTGGCCCCAACAGGGAGCAAGAACCAGTTTCTGCACTGTGCTCCCATTCACACATCCACTAACAACGCTCACCGTTGACTTATATCAGGCTCCTTCCACGAGCTCTGTTACGAGTCAATTTAGTTTTGCATTTTACATTCTCCCTTCCTGTTCTCAGAACTCAGAGGGCTGAATGGGAACAATTAGGTCTATGAATAGAGGGGTCAATGGAAACACAGCTCTCTATCCAGGGACATTGAAGAGGGGGAGCAATGAGAAGGAAGACACTGGATCAGTGGCTGAATGTTCCACCCTGTTGTCCGAGTGGTCACAGTGCAGCCTGCCGGAACCAGAAGCTCCTGCCACATGGAATGTGGGAATCCCCACAGTGGCGACGGGAGGTGAGAGCTGGAGGGAAGTGTAGGAAGTGTGTGTGAAGGGGAGGCTAGGGAAGCAAGAAGAATCTAATTAGATACAGACGGGCCACTCCTACTGGCTGTGGAATATGGGTCACACTCAGGCGTCTGTGGCAGGGGGCAGAGCAGGCACAAAGCCAAGGTGTGGGCAGCGCCGTCCTGAGTGCCACGCGGGAACCCGGGGTGCTCAGGATGACTGAGGAGGTCAGCAACAGGCAGAAACTGCAGCGCGGGGCAGAAGGACAGGGGCTGGAGGGTGGGGACAGGGTGGAGGGCTCAGCCCCAGACTCTTAAGCCTCATGGAGGGCCACGTGGCCACTTCCAGAGCCACCGATGAGTGGGGAGGGCGCTCGAGGAGGCAGCCAAGTGGGATCTCAGTGGCTCTGAGATTGGGCCCACAGAGATGAGGCTGCAGTACAGAGGAAATCCTGACTGCACTGAGAGCCAGCTCCTGGGCGGGGACCCTCACTGCTTTGAAGCTCAGGGGACTGGGTAAGGGGAGGGCCCGCCACTCATTGGGTGGGCCTGGGGGCGGAGTCTGCCGGTCATTGGACAGCGCTGGCAGCGGAGGCGGGACCAGGGGGTGGGGCCCGGTAACTGGGTTCTAGGCCCAACCTCCCAGGGGCAGGGCTAGGGGAGGGGCCCGGTGTTCTTATTAGGCACAGGGTGTGGCCTGCTTCTTAAGAGGCTTTGACACCCTCAAAGGGTAGGCTGGGTTCCACCTCCAGGGTCTCCCATCTCATCATAAATAGAGGTTCTGTCTTCCCAGGCCCCCTTCCCACCCTTCGTGAGGCTAGGGGTGGCAGAAGTAACAGTCTTCAGACCAGAGAGAGACCCAGAAGGGGGCATGGCAACACCTTTTCCCCCTCTGAGATGTCAGTCGCTGGATGGGGACTGGCAATCCCTCTACCCGTCCTTTATCCGTGGGAGAGCTGCCAAACCCCAGCGAAACAAACCAGTCCCCTGGGGCTCACTATGTTACAGCTCAGAGCTCTTTTCTAGGTCCAGAGACACTGTTATATAAAAACAAAAAGCAGCTGTTGAAGCAGCCCGTCTGGTCTCCAGGTGTTTTCTCTGTCCATTTAAGCCTGAGACCTCGAGGTCAAAGGCATTGAGGGAGGGACATGGACAGTCTGCTGGCCATCGTCAACCCACCCCACATGGCCCAGGTAGCAGAGAAACCCCCTAGTCCAGCACCATCGCTTGGCAGCCGGTGGCTGGTGCCTCTCTGTTTCCAAGGACAGTGGCTCGACCCTTCAAAGCCTGACAGGACAGGAGATACTACCAGCTCTTACAAAATCTGCTGCCTCAGGCTTCCCACCTATTTAGGCCCTCCGGGTCATCGTGCTGGCATTCGAGAAACATGCTCACACCCACTAGCTCTCGGGAACGCTGCAGCAGCCCCAGGAGTGCAAATCACCGCACCATTTGTCAGAAGAGGAAACTGAGGCTCCAGGGACACTTCTTGGAGTTAAGTGGCCTGCCCGAGCTGCCACTCGGGGTGGAAGTACAGTTGGAACTTGAGCTAAGGTCTTTTCACACCACATTCTTTCCTTAATGTGGCCCCAGAAAGCCTGCTCTGCAAGACTGAGGAACCATCTGATGAGTCAGGACCGTCATCATCATAAGCAGGTATCACGTACTTACTAAGTTTCAGGATTATTATTACAAATAGATCATTTTATTTCATTCTTATACCTACCCTGGGAGATCAATCACATCTTCCCCATCCCTGTTTTACAGAGGAGAAACTGGCTCAGAGAGGGCAGTGATTTGTCCTGGGGTACACAGCTAGGAGGCGAACACCCTGGAAGCCGAAATGATTGGATTGAGGCGAGTAGGGGGAAGGAGCAAGGAGCCCAGGGGAGGGAGGTGGCAGAAGCACAGAAGGCAGTGTCTGGTGTCCTCGGGTCTGGCTGGGGAGGAAGTTTGTGCTGGGGGGCTGGAACAATCTGCTGGGCGGTTGGAGGTGGGTTTCCAATGTCAGCTGAAGGGTGGGACAGGAGGTGGGTGGTGGCAGAGACTGGAGGTTCGGAAGCAAGGGGAGTGACCAGTGCTAAATGGAGTTCTCAGGTGACCCAACAGGAAGCCCTTGCTGGAAGCCCGGCAGGCAGGAAGCTGCTAGAATCCAGGGGCTAGGTCCCTGGGGGCGCCTGCCCCTCCCATCTGGACATAAAGGGCCTTGGTGCCAGAGTGACTTCACAGGCCCTACAGACAAAGGAAGGGGCCTGGCTAAGCAGGTCACTGTTCTCTGAACTCCCCAGGGACCTGTGTCCTTGGCCGGGGATGTTACACACTACTGCTCCCTCAGCCCCTCTTCCACAGACAGTTTTCTCTGGGCCACAACAGTTTTCTCTGGTTCTCAACTGGGGCAATTTGCCTCGCAGGGGTCATCGGGTGATGTCTAGAGACATTTTGGGGTGTCAAAACTGGGGAGGGGGCATCTAGTTGGGTAAAGACCAGGAATGCTGCTACACACCCTACCATGCACAGGACAGCCCCCTACAACAAGGAATTATCCAGCCTCAAAGGTCAATAGAAACCCTGCCCTGGAGCAACCAGCAAGTTCCCACATCCATGAGCTCACTTGCAAGGGACTTGAGAAGGGACTAGCATCCTGATTTTACAGAGGAGGAAACTGCGGCTCAGAGGAGAAAGTGACTTGTTCAAGGATGTGTGGCAAGTTTCATTCAAAACTATTTACTGAGTACTTACTTTATGGCACTATTCCAGTATCAGAACTGAGCCTAGGACTCATTCATTTCTTTCTTTACTTATCAACAAACATTTGCTGTGTGGGCTTCTAGGGATATAGAGTGATGAATTAGACCCAGCCCTGACCTCTCAGAGCTCATGGTCCAGTGAGACAGACAGCTACACAGACATTGACAAAACAATGAGACCAGGAAAGCCCAGGGCTACCTAAAGAAATCCTGGAAGACTTCTCAGAGGAGGTGTTTATAAACTAGGATGTGAAGGGGAGTAGGCGTTTGTCATCAAAGACTGAGGTTTGTGGAGAGGGTTGTAGGCAAAGGGAGCAGCATGTGTGAAAGTGGAGGAGGAAGACTACGGCTCATTTAAGACCTGGAGATGGATCAATGTCGCTGAGTATTATGGGGGCGGGGGAGGGGGAGGATGAGAGAAGGGCAGGGCCCAGGTCTTGTAGGACCTTGACTGTCAGACTGAGGCACCCGGAGTGCCTCTCTGAGCTGTGACAAGGATCCAGCCAGTGGCAGCTGAGACAAAGAGAGCTCCTGAGACCATCTGCCTGAGGGGCTTCCCTGGGTCAGCAGCTGGGGACGTGCTTCTTGCCTCCTTGAGTTATTCTGCTTCACCCACATGTGGCCTTCCCCCTGCTGGGCCCCAGGGTGGCGGTCCCTCCAAGTCTAGGAGCACAGAGAGGCGAGGAGTACCCCAAGAGGACAGCCCAGAGTCCCACCCAGTCTGCTGGAAAACGGGCCCTTCCCCAAACTGCTGCCCCTTTTGGCAACGAGGGCACAGATCCAGATTTAAGAGTACTAGGCGCTGTCCCTTCGCTTCTGGGAAATTGGTAATGATGTATCAGATGTGGCCTTCAGTCACCTACGGGGGAGCCCCATCTCTGTCCAGCATTCACGCCCCCACTGATGTCTTCTGCCCTCTCCATCCCTCCCTGGAAGGCCCCATCATGAACATCCTGGGATCCCTCACGCTCCTGCCCTCCCCATGGCCTTTGCCCGTGCAGTTCCCCACACCAGGGACAATCTGGAGGCCCCACCAGGCCCCACCCTTCCCCGAGTTGCAAAAGCCTCAGCCTTCAGTGCTCAGTTCAAACATCATCTGTTGAGGGCTTCTCCTGGTCCCTGCCCTGCCCCATCCAGAGCCTCCTGTTTCCCCCTCGGGGTTTCCACAGCCCTGTGTGAGTCCCTCATCATAGCTTGTCCCACTGGGCTGTCAAGGTCTGGGAGGGTCTGTTTGCCCATCTGTGTCTCCTGACCCCTGAAAATGCTTGGAGGGACTTTTAGTGTCTGTGGGTCGAAAGAATGAATCCAGGCACGGGGACAGAGCTCTGACTGCTGTGTGACTATGGGAAATCAGTGAGCCTCTCTGAGCCTCAGTCTCCCACGCTGTCTTCTTGGGTTGGCGTGAGGCCAGAGGATGCCTGGTTGGCTTAGTAGGTAAGGGCACAGGCTCTGGGCTCTGAGAGGTCTGAGTGCAAATCCTGGCTGTAGCACTTCCAGGTTGTGATCATGGACAAGTTCCTAACGGTTCTGTGCCTCTTTCCTTAACTGAAGAAATGATAATGGTGCCTACCTCTTAGGGAGAATTCCCCTTTATAGCCTTGTCTCACCTTTAAAGGACATGGTGCCTTTGTAGGTTGTATGATTTCGGGTCCCAGGGTCTACTCCCTTCACTAGAAACCTGTTCAGACCTTCTCCTCTCTCTGCAAACCGCCCGTCACCTCCTCTTGCCCATCCTCATCTCAGTCGGCAACCTTGCTTCCTACCTCACTGGGAAAGGGGAGGCCATCAGAAGAGAATCCTCTCAAGCTCCCACCCCTGCCCATTTACTCCCCCTCCTCTGGGCTCCCGAAGATGAGCTGTCTGGGCTCCCAGCAGAGGCCGCAGCAGCCCCCCTCCTGGCCGTCTCCCCGGCCACTCTCTCTGCCCTTCGCCCTCAGCTCTACCCTCCTTCCACTGGGTCTTTCCCATCACCCACAAATAGACTGTTACTTCTTTCACCTTCAACGGCCTCTGCCACCTTCTCTCTCCGTCCCTTAAATCAAACGCCTGCCTTAGAAATAGAAAGCACTGTCTCCACTCACTGTCTCCACTCGCTCTCCTCCCACTCGCTCTTGGCTGGCCTCCTATCCAGCTTACGCCCCTGTGGCTCCACTAAGCTCTCGTCACCGAAGACCTGCATGTTGCTGGAGAACAGTCAGTTCGGGTTCTCCCACCTGGCCTAGTGGCCTTTGCTGCCCTCAGCCACTCTCCCTACTTGGCTCCCGGGACATACCCGGGTTCCCCGCCCCACTTCTCTGGCTGCTCCTTCTCGGTCCCCTTGGCTGGGTATCCCTCCTGTCCCTACGATCTGGGAGTGCCCCAGGGCTTCAAAGTTGAGAGCAGCCCTGTCTCTCTTCTTTCACTTCCTAGGTGATGTCATCCAGGCTCATTAAATACAGTCTACACGCTGACATCGCCGGCCCTGACCCTTGTCCTCCACAGTACTAGTCATCCCATCTGCCTCACTTAGACATCTCATCCGTATGGCAGACCTCACGTGCTTACAGCTCTGCCCTTCCGGGCACCTCGGCCTGCATCATTGTAGTTTCCTTGTCTTCTTTCTCTCACACTCTAGAACTGATTCATAAGCAAATCCTGTTGGCTCTCCCTTCAAAGTATATCCTAAATCTGATCACTTCTCTCTACCTCCACTGCCATCACCCTACTCCAAGCCACCATCGCTCGCCTGGAGTATTGTGGAAACCTCCTAACCAGTGTCCCAGCCTCCACCCTTCACCCACTTCGGTCTGTTCTCAACCTGGCAGCGAGAGGGAGCCTCGAGGAACTTAAGCGCATGCCACTGCATGTCCCCAAGCCCTCCAATGGCTCCCATCTCACTCAGCATGAAATCTGAGTGAAACTTCAGATTTCAAGTTCCCACACTGGCCCGTAGGCCCTCAGGGTCTGGCCACTGCCACCTCCATGACCTCCTCACCTTCTACTCTCTTCCACTCTAGCCACACCAGCCTCCTCCCTGTTCCTTGAATATGCCAGGTTTGCTCCTGCCTCAGGGCCTTTGCACTTGCTATCCCCACTGCGAGGGACACTCTTCCCTCAGAAACCTGCATGGATCACTCTCCTTCTTCCTTCAGGCCTTTACTTCTATGTTTCCTTACTGGTGAGATCCTTTAACCGGGCCTTCTACCTAAAATCACTATCTGACCTAACATCCCCTAGCTCCCTTCCTTATCTTTTATCTTTCTCTAATGAACTATGGATTTCACTTATTAATTTCATTTTCTCTCTCCCTATGATGTAAGATCCATGAGGGCAGGGACTTTTGCCTGTTTTGCTCACTGCTATGTCTCCAATACCTAGAATAGTGCATGCTGTGATATGTGTTGTAGGATGGATGAATGAACTGCCTAAGGCCTCAGTCTCTTCATCTGGAGAATGGACATACTAATGGCCTCATGATGGCTGTATGAGGATTCACTGAGCTGAGTGATCGTGCGGGTACCCAGCACAGGCCCTAGAAGACGCAGGTGCTCAGCAAGAAACTCTCCTCCTCCCTCTGCCCTGCCCCCATGCTGTATTCAGAGCAGGCAGCTGGGTGCGGACGTAGCCCCCTAGCTCCTGCCTGTGTTAACCCTTGCCTCTTCCTGGGTGCTCTCAGGGACGGGCAGGAAGGACCTTACCTGGATGGATGTCCTGGAACAGGGACTTCCAGATGGTGTACTGCAAGGGGCCCGTGTACTTGGAGGTTGGGAAGTCTTCATAAGTCAGATTGGTCTCATGGATTTTCCCTTTAAGCCTGGAAGGAAAGCAGGACAGCAGGTTGCATTGGGGGCTGGAGTTTGGTCCCAACACTGGGGGCCCTACAGCCACCTTTGGGGCAGCTGACAAAGGGTGAGGTCACGTATGTCGAGTCTGCCAGCCCCAGAGTCAAGTGTCTGCTTATGCCACTTCCTCCATCTCTAGCCTCATTTTCCTCAACTTTAAAATGGGTACTGAGATAGCACCTGCCTTCCAGGCTTGTGGTGAGGATGACACGGCGTCATGTACGTAAGATGCTTACCACAGTGCTTGGCTCACGGTCAACGCCGAATACATGATGTTAGCTATCAGGCTTGATCATCAACAGACCAATAATGAAGTGTTATTATGAAAGGTGGCTCTGGGACCAGAGAGACATGCAGCTGAATCCTGGCTCTGCCAAATACTAGATGAGGGGCCTTGGCCAAGTGATCTAGCTTCTCTGTGCCTGTTCCTACAGGTGTGAAATGGGGATGGCGGCAGTAACTTGTCTCCAAGGGAGCTAAGAAGATTATAATAATATAAATATTATTTACTACCTACAATATCAATGTTATAAACAATATATGTTTGTAATATAAATAACGTTGCCCTCTAAGTAATATTCTATATGATTCTGCTTATTATATAGAGAACTATACAGCAGAAAGCCTCGTTAGCCCAGGCTCTGGCACACGGCCCCTGTCCCGGAACTGTGTGACGAGGATGGGGCTGACTGCGTTCTCCGCGAGCCACCCCCCGCGCCTCACTTACCGCTCAGACAGCGAGGCCACCCCGGCCAGGAAGGTGTGGCGGTCGGTCTCGGCCAGCCGCTCCTGCAGGATCTGGGCCCCCTCCTGCACCTTGCGCAGCTGCTGGCTGTAACGCTGGACTTTCTGCTCGATGTCCGTGAGCGTGCGCGCCGTGTCGGCCTCCAACTCCTCCAGCATCGCCTTCTGCCGCTCACGCAGCAGCCGGTGCAGCCGCTCGAACGCCTCCCCAATGGTGGTCCGCAAGCTTTTGGTGGAAGACTGTGGGGACAGTCATCAGGGGTTAGGCCAGCGGGAGCGGACGGGGGAGAGAGGAAAGGTGGGGGAGGGGCACGTGGAAAAGCTCCGTGGCAGGACCGGCTGGCATCGCCCCGGACAGCACATGATTCCACGTGCCCTTTAGGAAACCCACTGAGGCTTGAACTAGAGGGGCTGTGGCTTGAAAGACATCTGGGCGCAGCCTCTTCAGTCCTGGTGCCCGACGGGCTGGCTGGAGGGACAGAGCAGAGAAAGGCGTGAGGATGATGCCCAGCTTTCTGGCTTGGGGGTGGGAGGGACAGGGAAGCTGGGGGAGATGGGGTGGGCGGGGAGAAGAGGCTGAGGTCAGTCCAGGATACAGTGAGGTCTTTATTTGTAAAAAAAAGAAAAAATCACTCGTGGGGCTCAAGCAAAGATGACAAGGAGATCACAGATATCAGAGAGCTTTATAAACCGCAAGGTGCTGGGCAAAGCTTGGTGGTCACCCGCCCTGTCCTGCCGTCCTTGAGACCCTCCCCAAGCCCAGAAATCAGAGCTGGATGTTAAAGCCATGATCACAGGAGACAAGACTGGACTTGCCTACTTCTCTGCTCCCGCGGGCACTGCCGGACCCAGGAGGGGCCTGCGTGGTGAAGGGCACAGGCTTCAGTGCCCAACGGCCCGGGTGAGAATCCTGGCTCTGGGTCTCTAGCTGTGGCAACCTCAGTTGCCTAATGTCTCTGAGCCTGTTTTCTTATCTGTGAGAGGAGTAGCACAACCAGGGCGCAGGGGTCTGGGGAAGATTAAGCCGGGGCGTGTTCGCAAAAGGCATGGCATTGTTTGAGGTGCGGAGAAAGAGCCTGCTTACTGAGAGATGGCTTCTGAGCTGGGGCCGGCAGGACAGGCAGCAAGTCAACGGGGGATGTGGGGAGCAGTGCACGGCGGGACAACACGGGGTACAGAAGTGTGGCCAGGCTGCAGCAGTGTGCGGGACCTGCCTCTGTAATTTTACTTTGTGGGATTCTGGCTGGGAGTTCACAGAGTCAGAGACCCCGCTGTGTTCAGTGCCCAGGGCTCTGTGGGAGGCTTGACAAAGGCTCAATTAGGGCCAGTTCCCTCCTGTGGCGGCGGCAGGAAGAACTGCTGGCAGCGGGCCAGCCTCCCCGCGCATGCCCACCCAGAGCGCCAGGCAGACAAAGGGGGTGGAGGAGAGGCTGGGGATGAAGAGCCAGGCTGCCTGTGGCCTCCCTGAGCCCCTCCCCGATCCCTCAGGTTTCCGTGCGGGTCACAGGTGGAGAAGATGGGGCCTGCCCTCCCTGCACCATCTGCCGCTGCCCTCCAAGGACGCCCAAATCCCACAGCCACCCCTTCCGGCTCCTTCTCGACCCCTCCATGGCAGTGTTTGGCGCACCGGCCACCCTCTACCAGGTGCATGTTCTGGTTTGCCTCCCACCTCTGTGGCCGCTCCCTCTGGGCCAGCTCCTTCCGTTCTCACCTACATGCCCTCCTAGATGTTCCACCCCCACTGCTTTGAGGATGGCTCGCATGTCCTTATCCGTGGCCTTGCGTGTCTCCTGAGCACCACATTCATCTTTCCACCTGCCTCAACCACAGACTCCTGGGATCCCACAGGCCATCCAGCTCTCTTGGTCCGTAAGTCAACTCTGTGTCTTTGGCAACAAACTCAACGCCACAGTGACCCTTCTAATGTGCAAAGTGGGTCAAAGCCAATGCTGTTTAGGAACCTTTCTTGGCTCCTTGGTAACTGGAAAAAGACTAAATTCCTTAGCCCGGCATTCAAAGTCCTCAGTCTGATCCCAGCTTACCTCTCTAGTGCCATTGTGCTGCTATTCCACCTGCCTAGAATGGACCACCCCCAAAACAAACTCTATTCAACAGGCAAACTCCTACTCAACCTGCAAGACCCAGATTGAAAGCTACCTCCTCTGTGTCATCCTCCCTAACTTTTTCAGGCAGTGAAATAGTTAAATGTCTCCAGAGTATTTTGTAAATATTCCTAGTACACAGTCTCACATTTTATGTGGCTCCAGCTAGTAGACAAACCCCCAAGGGTAAGACTGATGTCTTTCCCAGCCTTGCACTTCCCGTGCCCATCCCAGGGCCTGGCACAAAGCTGGCAGTCAGAATCTGCTTGAGAGGTGGAGGGAAGAGTCTTGCCAAAAACTGCTCTGCAGAGGTGGGTGCAGACTCCATCTTCTTTTTAGGACGGGGGTCTAGTGTCTCCAGGACAAAAGAGGATGGGTAGGAAAAGGGGGAGAGGCAAGGAGAGGGTAGCTCAAAAGTGGAACATCAGAGTGACAGGCAATCACGGGGGCTTCAGGTATGTCCCTGAAAGGTCTTCCCAACCTACATGTCTTGCTGACCACAAAGCCATAGATCTGGATGAGGACCTCCCAGCTTGGGGCAGGAATATGCGCTAGGTTCTGACAAATTGGACAGTAAGCTCCCAATTAACCACTCATTAGCTGTGGGGCCTTAGGCTGGTTCCTTAACATCTCTGTGCCTCAGTTTCCTTGCCAATTAAAATAGAGATAACATTCCTGCCTCAGAAGGTGTCCCCCTCACATCACACATACAGTCATCTGTTCTACAACTATTTATTGTGTGGGAGGCACTGTGCTAGGTTCTGGGGAGTCCTGCTGTCACAGAGGTGACATTCTGTGGGGTTCAGTGAGACAATGAACAGGAAACACAGTTACCAGCTCAACTGGCGTGCCCCATTTATTCTAGATTTTTCTAGGGCAGAGCCACTCCCACCCCACCCCCAACCCCTTTGGTGCTGTGGTTGGGAAAGCAGCCCCTACCCCAGCCCACCACATCCCTGGGAACACACCGGGGATCGGAGGAACTGGGGCCAGTTCAGAAAAACACCCTGCCAAGAAAGCGTCACTTGGTCAGCACCGACCAAGGAAAACATTGGGCCCAGGGAGGGAGATCAGACAGGCCCTCAGGCCGGGCCATTGGAGGGACAGGCGCTGCAGGAAAACCGAGTCAGGCACCAGGTGAAATATGACCTCCAAAGCATCCATAGGCATTTCTTGTATAAACACCCCAGTCCAGACAGGAAGCAGGGCTGGGGGAACTGGAGGGGGAGGTGGCCCCACAGGACCCCCCAGAGGTAGACAGATGGACAGGAAAGCAGGGGAGGAAAAGGTCAGTGGAGAAAAACAATGGGGAGCGGAGAGAAGAGAACGCTGGGGAAAAACTAGACCATAATATTCGCTCTCATTCACATAGAGGCTTCCATTTGCTTCTCTTCACCTGAGGGTGCAGAATCACCAGGCAGATAGGGAAACTGAGGCTGTGGAAGGCAAATAGGCTAGCGTCCTCTGTTTCTCATCTATGGCCTGCTGAGGGTCCTGCCCGCAGGCATTCCAGAACGTTCTCTAAAGAAATGTTTGTCATGACCTCCCTGAGACCCCACATGGGTTGGTGGCCAAGCTGGGGCACAGATCTGGATCTCCAATGGCCTCTCCAGGCCCCAGGTGACCCCCAGAGGTCCAGAGCATTCTTAAGGCTCTAGTTCAGCTGCTGCTGGCAGTTGCACCTCTGCTAGTGAGCGGGGCCAGACTGAAATCAACGTAGAGCTTAGCAGCTGGGCCTGGGTCCCCAGTTCCTGGTCCCAGAAAGGGCAGAAATCAAAGCAAGCCTTGTCCAGTTGGTGAGACATCAGTGCGGGGAACTCAGAGGAAGGCCCTGGGATCCAGAATTTCAGGGCTAGAAGGAGCCTGGCAGGGTCTCCGGTGGACAGACGGGAAGAGTGGGGGGTCAGAAAAGGATGCAGTTTACCCAAAGTCACACAGCCAGTTAGTGGCTGGATCAGAATCCAGGGCCTCCCTCTCAGGTCCAGAAAAAGCCTTTCTTTTCAAACCATTGCAGCCAGAGACTACAGGGATTGGCCCTACTTTGCAGTAGAGTCCATATCCCCACCGTCTGCCTAGTGATACCAAGGCTGGGCCACAAATCATCAGGAGGGCTTCCAGGGAACAGGCTCAGGGTTGGCTCCTGCGGATTGCTCCCTGGTCCCACCTCACCTTCCACTCAGAGCAGGACGGGAGAAAGGGCCCCACCCTTAAACCCCAAATCCTTTCCCTCAGTCCTAGGAGTGGGTCTCATTTACCTTCATGGAAGCTCCAGCCTCTGTTCCACGGCCCCCAGCCCCGCCCTTCTCATAATGGGTCTGGTACCTTTAAGCCCCGCCCCTCCTCAGGCCCCGCCCCGGACAGATTTGGCACCTTTAAGCCCCGCCCCTCCGCCCAGAGGGCCCCGCCCCCCGCAGGCCCCGCCCCCGCGCCGGGCCGGGCTCACCTTGGTCTCGGCCAGCTGTCGCTTCAGCAGCTGCAGCGCCTCGGTGTGCTCCCGCTCGCTGTCCTGAAGGGCCTGAAGCTGCTCCTTCAGCTCCCTCTGGAACAACACAAGGCCTGGATGCGGGGCCCGGGCCACACCGCCGCCGCGCTGCCGCGCCCCGGCCCAACACCGTCCTCCCCGCACAGTTCAACAACCCCCCAGTCTCCCAGATACCCGGGCTGCCTTCATCTTTCCATCTTTCATCTGGAGGTTTGCGACAGCCTCCTCTCTAGGAGCTTACGGTCTCCCTGTCTCCAACCCGCCCTCACATACATTCGGCCCCAATTCGGCCCCAGCCTGATTTGCGGGCGGGGACTCCCGGCTTAGCCTCCTCGGGTGGGTACCAAGGCCGTACCACTGTGCTCCGCTTCGACTCACGCGTCCAGTGGGCTGGGCGCTGTTCTCAGGCCTGTGCTTGAATTGGGTCATTTAATCCTCTCAATAACACAGAAGAAGGCACTATTAATACCTCCATTTTCCAATGGAAAAATTGGTACAGAGAGGTCATGAAACTGGCCCCAAAGCATGCAGCCAAGCAAGTAAGGGTAAAACCATAAGTGGACCATGATCTTGACGTCAGGTGGGTGACATGGTTTCTACAGTGATGACACCCATGACAAACAGTGACAAAAACCCATACTACACAACATATGGAAACCTTAAGAAAGGCCACGAGCAGTATTACTGATTTTTCCTTTGCCTCAGGTTCCAGTAGGGCTCAGCATGACGCTGCTAGTGATTTTGTTTTTATTTAAAAATTTGATATTTTGTTCATCATGGGTTTTTTTTTTTTTTAAAGATTTTATTTATTTATTTGAGACAGAGAGAATGAGAGACAGAGAGCATGAGAGGGAGGAGGGTCAGAGGGAGAAGCAGACTCCCCGCCGAGCAGGGGGCCCGATGCGGGACTGGATCCCGGGACTCCGGGATCATGACCTGAGCCGAAGGCAGTCGCTTAACCAACTGAGCCACCCAGGCGCCCCGTGTTTTGTTTTTTTTTTTCTGCTTTAATACTGATATTTTAAAGATTTTTTTAAAATTTATTTATTAGAGAGAGAGAGAGTGAGAGAGAGAGCGCAAGAGGGGGAAGGGTTAGAGGGAGAAGCAGACTCCCCGCCGAGCAGGGCGCCCGATGCGGGACTCGATCCCGGGACTCCGGGATCATGACCTGAGCCGAAGGCAGTCGCTTAACCAACTGAGCCACCCAGGCGCCCAATATCGATATTTTAAAATTGCATTAAGTATTACCCATCTCAATCACTGAGTTTTGGGGTGCCTGCTTCAATGCTGCGCCTCACCCTCGTGCCACACCTGTCTCCACCATCCCTCTCCCCTCAATCCCATGCAGCCAAAGCGGCCTTCGTCCTGTTGCTCTGACACGGGCTTGTCTCTGCCTCATGATTTTGCCCTTGCTGCTTCCTCCGGCCAGTGCACTCCACTCAGATTTTCTCCCGGTGATTCCTTTGTGTCATTGACATATCAGCTCAGATGCCACCTCCTCAGGGAGGTCTCGCCGGACCACCCCATGTACAGCATCATCCCCTACACCCTCTGTCCCACATCCTGCTTCGAGGTCCTCCTAGCGCCTTCTGCTGTCCGAGATGCTCTTGCTCACTTGTTAGTGTGTTTACCGCTCGTCTCCTCCACCAGACTGTGACTATCATGAGGGCAGGAGTCCTGTCTGGCTTGTTCATTGTTGGATCCCCAGTGTTTAGAACAGTGCCCAGCACACAGTAGGGCCTCAATGAATATTTGTCAAATGAATGAATGTGGTATTGAGGTGGGTACACCCGTGACAGGGCCAGCTGTCTGCACGTACTGGGCAGTTAGCTCACTGTATCATTACTAGTTCTCCTGTCTGTCCCTAGTGCCCTTCCCCCCCATGAGCCCATGAGTCCTGCAGGGCGGGCCCTTACCAGTCACTGCTCTCTATCCCCCGTACCCATCAACGGCCTGACACTAAGATGGGGCTCAAGGAAGTTTGCTCTGTGGAAACAGCCTCTGAGCAGGACCTGGGTTTTCCAGTCAGCCTGGGCTGTGAGAGATGCCAGGCAGCTGACTTACCCGTTCACCCTCACCTCCCTCCTACTCACTGAGCTCATCAGAGCAGGGAGGACCCTTGGAAAACATCTGGTCCAACTAATTTTACAGATGAGGTAGCGACACGGGAAGATGGTCATGATGACACGCTAAGGGAAGCATGCAGAAATTACCTTTGCTTACTATCCCTTAGTCATGCAACAAATATTTACCGAGCAACTCCTCTGTGCTAGGCACTGCTGAGGCTCTGGGGATACAGCAGAGAGTGCGACAGACAGTCCCTACCCACAGGGACCGTCCAGTGTGGTGGGGAAGAGAGATAACGAGCAAGGAAAATAACAAAAGAACCAGGTGACTCTGGGTTATGGTCTGTGCTCTAGAGAAGATAAAGCAGTGCGGGATGGGGGCGAGTTTGGGGGAAGGTGGTCAGGGAAGGCTTCTCTGAGCTGTCACCTGAGATGACACAGTGGCAGGATGAGGAGGAGCCAGCCTTGGAAACAGGAGTTAGATGGGACACTGGGGGCAGCTCGTGCTGTGACAGCAGAGAGCTCCCACGGACAGGACCCCTGCAACTGCGGGAGCCGCCTCGGGCCATGAGGTAGCTGTACAGATGGAAGTCCAGAGAGGCAGGAGGAGGAAGGAACCTGGGTCCCTGATGACTGATCGAGGAGGCAGGCCTGCCTCTTCCTCCTGGACCCTGGGAGCAACAGAACACTCCTTTGCCCATTCCACAAACATGCGCGGAGGTCTCCTTGGGCCCACATGGTGCTGTGTCAGCAACAGGCAGAGGGATGCCTCAGGAGGGGTGCAGATGAGTTGGGGGGCAAGACAGGGACACATGCGTTAACATGACAGAGAATGCTGGAATAGGGTTAAGGGACACCAGACTTGCTGCTCTTCCCAGGTCCCCATCTCAGCGAAGGCCACCCCCATCCCTACTGCCATCCAAGTGAGAAAGCTGGGAGTTATCCTGGACACTGCCCGCCCACCAGGGCAACGGGTCATCAGGTTTGTCTTGCCAGTTGTCTCCTGTCTACACCCACTGCCCCTGGTTTGGTTTTCACCCCTGCTTTTCTGGACTGTGACCCTAGGCTCCCCTCTGCCCCTGCGCGTTCCAAGTGCCCCACAGAGCAGCTGGAGGGACTTCTCTGGGACAGATCTGTCCACGCTTCTTCCCCGTGCCCCACTGCAGCATTCCCACGGTGTCTGGGAAGACGGCCACGAAGCTTGAGCGTGGCACTCAAGGCCTTCACCCCTGGCCCCAAACTTCTTCTCCAGCCTTGTCTCTTGGTCCAGACCCGCACTGTCCAACAAAGCAGCCACCAACCACATGCGGCTACTAAAGTTAACATGGTTTGAAATGAAATAAAACTGAAACTCAGTTCCGCAGCCGCACCGAGGTGTTGGGTTACACGTTTCAAGTGCTCAAGAGCCACATGGGACCGGTGGCTAATGTCTCAGACGGCACAGATGTGGAGCACCGGGAACCGTCTGGTCAAACCCTCTGGAACTCTCTAACAGGAAACTGAGGTCCACGAAAAGGGACTGACTGGTCCGGGGCCGCACAGCTTGACAGAGGAGAGCCAACCGGAAAATGCACGGCCGGCAGAAGGGAGACACAAAACAGGAAGCTCTACGGGGCAGAGCTAGCTCGGAAGAAGGGCCGTGCTGAGGTTTGGGTTCACAGGCGCATGTCACGCAATTCTCACAACCACCTCATGAGGTGAGTGCCTTTATCACCTCCATCTCACGGAGGGGGAAACAGAGGCTCAGAGAGGTCAGACAGCTTGCCTCAGGTCACACAGCTCTGTTTCCAAATCTGTAAAGTGCAGCTAATATCAGTGTTGGCTCTGTGGTTGTGAGGATCCGATGACTTCATTCATGCCCTGACACGACGCCCAGGGTACACTCAGTCACTCTTGGCTGCTGTCACGGTCATCATCATCATCCCGATGACATGTGAGACAGGGAGTCAGAACTGGCAGAGTGTCCAGGAGAGACTTTATTTCTGATGGAAAGCCCAGGGAAGATGGATGGATGCGCAGGGTTCCTTCGGGTCTCCTGGGTGGGGCCAGAGCATCCCAGGTGGACAGACTAGTCGGGCAGGGGCACACCTGGTGTGTGCAGGAAGTGGGGGGCAGGTGGGGATGACGGGAGCCAGGTCTGGACAGGTGGGTGGAGTCCCAAGCTGGGAAGGCCAGTGGGGCTAGCTGGGGTGAGAGCAGGGGGTGGGGGAGGCCTTGAAGGTCAGCTTGGGGGAGCTGGACTCTGCCGGCCCCATCAGAGCAGGACCATGTCAGGAGGGGGGGAGTCGGGAGGGACAAACCTCAGAGGGCAGAGCCGCAGCTCTGTGCCCCTTCCTTTGGGGACGAGCACAGTTAGGGCTGGCGCAGACCTGAGTAGCAATTATGCAAATGTCAGCTGAGAGGCTCTGGGGCTCCCATAGGTTTGGAGAGGCCAGGACTGGGGCAGCAGCTCGGGGTGGGGGGGAGGACAGAGAACCAGGGTTCCTATGCTCCCCAGGCCAGACAGCCCCTCCTGTGGGGCCACCCCTCTCCCAGCCTAGAGGGCAAAGCTGCTGCAGGAAGCCATCTCCTGAAGGCTTCAGGGACCCTTCTCACCCCCCCAAGCAGTGCTGCCCAGGGCAGATAGCGTGAACTCTGGATTCGAGTCCCGGCTGGATGACCTTGGGCGGATCACCTCTTCCCCTCTCAGGGCCCACCTCTCAGAGCCTTATCTGTAAAATGGGCATCAGAGTCACCCATGGGGTTGGGGTGGGACTAAATAAGATGATCCCGAGAAAGGGCCACGTAGGTGCCCAGGCCCCCTCCCCTTCTCCACGCTCCGATACCACTCTCTCTCCTGCTCTGACCCAAGGACACCAGAAATCTCAATATGGCCAACTGAACTTGCCCCACCTTCTTCCTCTCCCCCATCCCTCTCCCACGCCCAGAACCCTTGATGCTCCTGCTCCCCCCTGACAGGCCTGAACTCTTGCATGTCCTCTCTCTCTTTGA